GTGTCACTATTTAATCATCAATGAAATAATGATGAGAGCCCCAATAATAATAATGAGAGCCCCAAAAGATCAAGTGTCTGTCCTAACACTGGGTCTGAGATTAAAGGATAGAGTCTAAATATTAACACTCAGAATCTGGTTTCAGAATTTTAACCACTGATGATATTTCTCTGCTCTCCACTAAACTGTTCTGATCGAAATTATTTGTCTGGATATAAAATTTGTCTTCTTCAAATTGGACCTGTATTTATTGCTGTCCGGAGGAAAGGATAATTCAGCTTTACTACTTACACAGTCATTATGGAGAGAGGACCAGTAGTCAAGTGTAAGGAAGACTCTGGTTGAGATACTTTGTATGTAAAGTGGAAAACCCGAGAAGCCTAGATTTTTGGAATGCCAGAGCCATTTAGCAGGAAGGAATAGGGACAGCATTCATATTCAAAGGTTAACACCAAGAAATTGAAATGTAGAGAAAGGCCATTAATTTATGGCTACATTTAATATCTTAAAACAGTTCCAGCTTCTCTTCCAGGATTCAATCTACTTACATCATTCTCAGAATTTTTTTTATTTTATTTTCTGTAATTCAAATTTTCTTTCTGTTATCTATTTTTGTTAACAATTTTCTTTTAGCCTTTACTCGTCACGGAAACTGTCCTTCTATTGCCAATTTGGTATTTAAAGTTTTATTACTTTTCATTTTGAAATTCAGATACTCATTTCCTGGTACTCTTTCCAAACATTAAAATTGTGAGGAATTCTGGGGTAGGAAGTGGTGCAATTCTGGGTTGTCTAAGGTGTGTATGCCAATGGAAGGATGGTGGCCAACATTACTCAGACAGAGTAAGTCAAATATTTTCCAGAGTTTACACTTGATACTTCTGGAACAACCCATAAATCAATGAAGCTATTTTCCCATTCTGCTTGCTCAAGGATAGAGTCTCCATTCTGGCTTCTTTATTACCTTCTATGTGATTGTCTTTTAACCAAAGAATGGTAAAGCAAAACTCATGATCTCCAGCCTCTGCTAAACAATGCATTGTTTGCTCTTTTTCTAAAGCTGGAACTACAACTGTTGTATCAATGAAGCTGATCCTCTAATAAGAACCACAGAGCCAGCCACATGCATATGATAAACTAAGTAAGAATCTACAGTACAGTTCCTAGCCTAGACCTGGGCCAGCTGCAGCCCACAGCAGAGTAACTTGTGGTTCTGCTTGTTCTCCCTCCATTGAGAGGTACTCCCTACAGCCCAATTCACCTCTCAAACTCTCACTCTTCGCAAAGCAGAGTCTGTTGTCCTCATGGGAAAGATTATATACCTGTTTTAGGAATCCCCACACATAAATGCAAACCTTCTTGTAGGAATTAAGCTATTCTAAGCAAGCACTGTGTAACCCTCTTTGATAGCCAAACTATTGACCATGTACCCCAAGAAATTGGACAGTTTCATGGAACCTCGTTATGGGAGAGGAAAAGATTAAAGAAGCCTAACTCCAACAAGAAGAGGAACTGGTCTTCAGTTCCTAAAACATACCAGACCACCACATAGGAAAGACAGGAATCCAGTGATTAAAGGCAGGCCCTGATTACTTAGAGGTTACAAATTGAATACCTCTGGTTCTTTATTTAAACCTAAACTGCATGTTAGGACCTGGAAGGTGGACTTGGAGTGGGAATTGGCCTATGAAGGTCAGATGTTATAGCCTTCAGAGCCTGGGTTCTCACCTACTGATGACTCCAGTAACAAGAGAAGCCTTGGACTGTCAGGCTCTCTTTGTCCGATTGTGTAGATAAGGACACTCTTTCACAATCAAGCATCACACTAGATTCAGTTCAGACTGTTTGCAGGAGCTGTAGTTTGGATCGATGTGAAGGGAAGAAAAATCATTGTGGTCACCTCAAGAAACTCCAGAGTAAGCAGTAGAGGATGCGGAGAAAATCTGTGATGTGTTTGTGTGGGTTGGGATAGAAAAGCCAGTGAATCTCCACTGATTCAAATTAGAGGGCAGCCTCTGAGAACAATCAGCCTGCGTCTTTGTTTCCTGAGTGATTACAACTTGAGCACGGCTAAGAATGTGGTTAAAAAAGAGAGATAATTACCATCATTTTACATACTCCCCATATTCTTTTTCACCCTCTCATCATTTTTATCTTGGATTTTATGCGGCCTCATAGAATGAAAATCCTCTTTCCTCAAACTTCACACAAGGACTCAAAGGTGCATTACAGTTTCTTTGTAAAACAGTGATCATGCCATGGAGCTCCCCTGCCGAAGAGATATTAACTAGTTCCTCATTTTCATCAAGTTCAATGTCTAGCGGGTCAATAGTGGCACACGCCTTTAATCCCAGCACTCAGGAGGCAGAGCCAGGCAAATCTCTGTGAGTTCAAGGCCAGCCCAGTCTACAGAGTTAGTTCTAGGATGTGTTCTAAAGCTATACAGAGAAACCCTGCTTTGAAAAACAAAAAACAAACAAAAAATTTAAAAATAAAAAAAATTCAATGTTCAAATTGCTTAGCACTAATCCACACAATATGCCCTTTTTCTTCTCCAATTCGATGCTTCCTGCCTCCCTTTCACTATGACATAATTACCCTACATGGAAGAAGCTGCAAAGAAAACAAGTGTGGCTGGGCGGTGGTGGCACACGCCTTTAATCCCAACACTCAGGAGGCAGAAGCAGGCAGATCTCTGTGAGTTCAAGGCTATCCTGCTCTACAATAGCTAGTTCCAGGATAGGCTCCAAAGCTACAGAGAAACCCTGTCTCGAAAAACAAAAACAAACAAAAAACAAAAAGAAAGAAAGAAAAAAAGACAGAGAAAGAGAGAGAGAGAGAGAGAGAGAGAGAGAGAGAGAGAGAGAAAGAAAGAAAGAAAGAGTGATCAGGGTGCTTTATGAGAAACTCCTCAATAATCAATAAAAATACTATGTTGAAAAAACAAAGAAAAAAAAGAAAGCAAGAGCAAGCCAAAGGAAGACAGTGAGGCTGGGGAATGGTCACCTTGCACACGGTTCCAACTAATCAGTTTGCTGTGATGTGATGATCCTGTCCCCAGTACAACTCAAATCCCTGCATTCGTCTAAATCCCCACCTTTGTTACAATGGAAAGTAGTTTTAATTCACACTATTCCTCTCGAAGATTTGGTGATTTTAGTTTCTAACAAAACAAACAAAACAAACTATTTTACAGACTATTACGGTTGGTCTTAGTTGCCAGTTTAACCTGATTGAGACATGTTTAGAGCTGTGCCTGTAGGGGGTGATTGAGGACAGGCCTGATGAGTGGGACAGTGACTGTATGGCTGAGGAAGACCTGCTCTGAATGTTGACAACACCTTCCAGTGGGCTGGTGGCCTGGATGCAAGCAAATCAAGAAGGGCAGCAGAGTGAACAAGCCTCCTCCTTTTCTGATGTCTACATGAGGCTGCCACCACCTGCTGACATTAGACCCCAGCTTCTTCAGCCTTTAAATTCTGGTTCTTGTGTCCAGGCCTTCAGGAAAGTCTCATCACAGTCACCAAAGACTTGAAGGAAACTACGAATCATCAATTTATTTAAGGATGTAAAATAATATAGTGTAAGCCGGGGGTGTTGTTACTCAGGTCTGAAAGCCCAGACGTTTGAGAGGGTGAAGTCAGACGATCTTATGTTTAAAGCCTGCCTGACTTACAGAATAAATTCAAGGTTATTCTGGTCAACTTTATGAGACCATTTCTCAAAATAAAATTTAAAAAAAATGTGAGAGATGAAAATCAAAGTTTTTGTCGTACACATTCTTCTTCTCTGGTAGGCTCTTTGCTATTCTTGGCATGGTATTCCTTAAATAACACTTCTTGTTTTGAAAGATCCTGCTGTGTTTTGCTTGTTTTGCAATGCAAAACATCATAGTAGTAGTCTTTCTAGGGAGGAGAAAGCACACTGTTATCAATGGGAATAATAATAATAATAATAATAATAATAATAGTCCCACAGGAGCAAGATGTATAGTTGCTTGGGGCTGCAGGGTAGAAAGTTACCCAAAGGTTGTCATTCCCTTCTGAACCAAGTCAAAAGCCTACCTAGAATTAGTAGATTGACTGTGGGGCATAAGAAATATGAGAGACAATGACATTTGAATATGTATCAAGAGGAATACAGAAGTTACCATAAAAAAATGGCATTAATGCTAGATGGCCCAGAAGATGAACTTCGCTTTGATGAGTGGGGCTGTAAGATCTTTCTCCTGCATTGTTCAGTACTGTAGGCATTGGGAAGAAATCATGTAATTTCATTGAACTAAGACTTAAATTTTTAAAATTGGTATGAAACCGATTAAAAGGAATTAAGAACTTGAAACAAGAGTGAAAATGACTGAGGTGATTGGGATATGTCTTATATTTAACAGAGAAATGAATTGCAGGAATTTTAATGCCAGTCAAACTCTTAATGTGTTTAAATCTGTATCATATTGAACAATGAAAAATCAAGGATATTGAATGGTGCATAGTGGTATACTTCTGCAATCCCAGCACTTAATCCTGGCTCTTAAGAGGCAGAGTTCAGCAAGAAATTGACCTGCATAGGAACTTGGAGACAACCCTAAAGTACACAACAAAGTACCATCTCAAAAGAAAAGATAAAAAATAAAAGAGGAAAGAAGGCAAATATTTTATGGAATGCATGATGACTGGATGGCTTCCCTAGTGGTGGTAGTGGGTAAAATAAGGCCTCCTTTGGTGCTACTAACAAGTTACACATGTCAACAGCTTCCCCTGGCACTCTGATTAGTGACTGAGGAGTTCTGATCTAGCAGGTTACACTCATATACGAATCTTTTCCCTCCAGGCTTCAGTGAACATTGCAAGAGTGTATTTAATGAGGTGTAGCACCAATCAATGCTTCCCTGGGTCTGATCTTCTCCCCCAGAGAACCCCAACTCATCACTACAAAAGAGGCAGTTTTTTTAAATACCCCTCTTCAGAGCATGTTCCGAAGAATAACTTAGATTTTTGGCAGTTTATCTCAATCAAGACATGTTTATTGATAAAATAAAATCACTTTAGGTATGGCTTTACAATAACATAGCAGACAGGCAAAAGGACAAACCAGAACACAATGCTCAGTGGAGTCAACGCAGGCTGCTGAAGTGCAAAGGACAACAGGGAGAACAGTAAGAAGTAACTAACGCGCACATACGTTACAAATCATGCTTTGGGTATTTGTGTTCTTGGTTGTGCACAATGATGTCTAATTTATAGATGAGAAAATCCCTCTTCCAAGATTTCAGTAACTTTCCTAGGTAGTTTTTGCCAGGGTACATCTCACTTTTTTGACTGTGATGACAGTATTTTAGAAGGAAGTATGTGGCCAACATAGATTGGCACTACTCACTCATCAGGGTGGTACCATGGAAGATTCCAGGCTTAGGGTGGCATTTAAGTACTTTGAACACTGGAGAGGTGGAGAGGAACTCAATGGAGGAAATGCATTCTCAGCTATAGCTCCACTAGATGGCAGTAAGGCCCAGTAGGAGTCACTCTAGACTTAAATCCTAAAACAGGAAGTAAAGAAGCAAAGCAATGCCTTTTTTTTTTGAATCTAAAAGGAAGTACAAGCCCCCCCCCTCTGTGTGTGTGTGTGTGTGTGTGTGTGTGTGTGTGTGTGTGAATGTGTGCATATGTTTGCAGGACAAGACTCTGAAGAGTTTCTAGGACCATTTCTGTTCTCTACACCATATGTCACACTTGTGTACAGGACCAAAGTGATAGAAAGGTTTTGACATGTGGCACAAGCTATACTATAGTCTCTCCTCTTATTAGCACTCCCATCCCTGCAATCTACAAAGTCCAGGTGACCATTGTTGTTCAGTATAATGGTGGTCATTCCCTAGAAGGAAAGATGCATGTGTTTGGTGTACTGATATCAATGACTGTGCCTGCATTGTGTTTCCCTTCAACGTTACTGCAGTCAAGCAGAGAGAAGAGCAATTTTCAGTATCATTTGGTTAAAGGAACTGTACATGAATGCCATAGTTGAAGGATTTCAAGACACCTTAATGTTCCCCTGTTTTGGTAGTAATCTACATAACTAGAGGTAAATTGCAAACTTTGACCATTGGATAAGGAGTTAGAATTAAAATTAGAAAATTGTGTCTCAAAAAACATACTGTTGTAAATAAAGAGTGGGAACCTATTTGTGGACAGAACAATGTCTAGATGGTATCCTGAATCTTTCTGGGTGGTACAAGAGAAGGCATTCTATATATCTGGGGATGGGATCTTTCTCAACTCTAGGATGTCTTAGATATTAGGAATACCATCAAGGTGCCCATCAGTGTGATGAAGGTTTCAGCTGAAGAGAGTCCTTTCCTGCGGGAGGCGGCTGCTTTTCCTCTGGCACCGAGGGTAAGTCAGGAGCTTTTGGCCCACACCTTGCCACTGTGAAGCGGCTCATGCCAAGAGCTTCCTCATAGCCTGGGAGTGTGTCAAGGGAGGAAGGCAGCTGACCCAAGGAGCTGTGTGCATGAGTCACGGCCAGTATTCTCCGAGCTGCAGGGCCAAACACAGACTGAAGTGCTGTGAGGGAAGAAGACAATCTATATAGAGATGATGAAGTACAAAGGTAATGTCTTTAGACATGAGGGATTTACATCAGATCCAACTTTTCTTTGTCTTTAGCCTATTTCCAAACTCATTGTCACAACTTTGGACGAAGTTTACAAAAATACTTCAAAGATTCTTTATGACTAACTTTATACCCTGCAGGAGATCCTGCTTTCCCACTAGCTGAATAATCTGAGTTGCATTTTTATCATTCATCCCTTTTTCAGGTTTTTGCTATGCTAGGAAGCAAGGCCATATCCTCACACAAACTAGGCAGCACTATTCTTTTGAGTTCCACCCAGCTACACCTTCAGATTTAGATCCCTTTGTACTTGCCTCCCAATATTAGAATCTCAATTTTTTTCTTTTCCTTTCTTTCTTTTTCTTTTTCCTTTCTTTCTTTCTTTCTTTCTTTCTTTCTTTCTTTCTTTCTTTCTTTCTTTCTTTCTTTATTTCTTTTTTTTGACAGAGCTTCTTGCTTCTTGGCTTGGCTATCCTGGAACTAGTTCTGTAGACCAGGTTGATCTAGAACTCAGAGATCCACCTATCTCTGTCTCCCAAGTGCTGTAATTAAAGATATGAACCACCACCACAGGACACAAAAACCTCTTTCAAATACTTATTTCTGCCATATTTGTCATTTTTTAGTCACAGATTTTGTTGCTCTTATGATAAGTGCCACAGTATCTTATCCTCTGTCATTCTATCTTGACTTTGCTCTTTACTTTCAGGGAAGAATAATTTCATAAAGAACAGACCAAGTAATGCAGGTCTTTAATCACAACTGTTTGAGAGGCCGAGTCAGGAGGATTATATACTTAAGACCTGCCTGACTTATAGTTGAATTCAAGGATAACCTGGTCAATTCACCAGTAAAATTTCTTGAAATAAAAACAAACTAAGAGTCTGGGAGTTTGCATAAGTAACATACTTTTCCAGTCTGTGTGTAATCCTGGGTTCTACTTCCAGCATCACAAAAATATAAGAAGAGCAAAGAAAGAAAATGCAGATAGGTGATGGTACACACTTAAATGCCAACATTCCTGAGGAGAAGGGGGAAAGTAGGAGGATCAGAAGTCAGTCTTGGTTAAATGAGACTCTACTTGGAAAGAAAGGAAGGAAGAAAGGAGGGAAGGAAGGAAGGAAGGAAGGAAGGAAGGAAGGAAGGAAGGAAAGAATAGAGGGAGAGGAAGGGAGGGAGGGAAGAAGAGAGGAGAGGAGAGAAGAGAAAGAAGAAAGAAAGAAAGAAAAAAGAAAGGAAGGAAGGAAGGAACGAAGAGAGAGAGGAAGGGAGGGAACAATAAATGAGTCCCCTATTTGGTGATCTAAGTTGAGTGCACTCACATGTGATGGTACTCTGGAGAGTGCTGTCATGGTCAAAAGCAATGACGGTCACTTCATAGGGTGGTGGAACCCCATCTTCCCCATTTTCCGGACGGCTTAGACAGCAGCGGAAGCATACTGAAGTCAGGCCACACAGGAGAAGCAACGCACCAACTACCACCAGAAACCTGGAAGAGCCCACCTGTTAAGCCCAAGCCGTGATGAGCTTCTTTCCTTGCTCCGACAAAACTACCCTTTAATGTATGATCTTGATCACTATTCATCTTTTATATAGCTTCAATCTTCGGATTTTATTTTGCATATATCAGTCATTAATTTTTCAGCAAAACTATGAGTCATGAGGTCAAACAGTACTGAAGATAGTTTGAAGTAGCTGCTTCTCACTTCACTGTGCAAAAGTACTTCTTAAACGCATGCTGGTGGAAAGACACTATAACCCCTCCATGTTGATGAAGAGAGTATATTGAAATAGGAAACCATGGTGTGTTGTCATATAGGTTAGAGATGAACTAAGAAAACTTTACTGTGAAATACAGCTACACTTTTATTTGTACTGATAGTTAGCATATAAAAAACCCTGAAGTAAGCTTATAAAAGTAATGCACCTGAAAAAGGAAGTCTCTTTGAAACTATTATATAGCTCATACTTACCATATGTACCAGAGATGCACCCAGTCAGTAGACAAGCACCTGTGGAGAAAGAATAAAGTTTATTATATTAAAAATCAACAGTATGAGCTGAAATAATCATGTTGTTACATTTAATACTATGTGATAAACAAAAACATCAAGACAAGTTTCTTCTTCTTCTTCTTCCTCTTCCTCTTCCTCCTCCTCCTCCTCCTCCTCATCCTCTTCCTCCTCTTCCTCCTCCTCCTCTTCCTCCTCCTCCTCCTCCTCCTCCTCCTCCTCCTCCTCCTCCTCCTCTTCTTCTTCTTCTTCTTCTTCTTCTTCTTCTTCTTCTTCTTCTTCCTCTTCTTCTTCTGAATGATTCACTTTGTAGCTTTGGGTGACCTGAAACTCACTTTGTAGATCAGACTGATCTGAAACTCACAGAGATTCTCCTGTCTTTCCCTCCCTAGTGCTGGAATTAAAAGTATGTGCCACCATGTTCAGCTAAGACAAACTTTTTTAAAAGTCCAATGTAACTTGTTGAATAGAGTTTTGTATAAAAAAAAGTGGCATTGCTGTGCAAATCATTTTCTGGTCCCTAAATACTGCATTAAAAAGAGTGGCTATGAAAAGAATTAAGGAGTCTGAGAAAGGAAAAGAAGAGAAGAGAAAAAATTAAAACAAATTTTGTTTGAAAAAATGGCATGATGAAACCTAGTTCTTTCTAATCTTACATAAAGGAAAGGGAAAAGAAAATGTTCACATGGCTACTGTGAGCAGCTCTGCTGGAAACTGTCAAGAAAGAATTTGGCATACACAATTTTAAGGAGTGACTTGGAAAACAGACAGGAACGTTAAATTTATATGAACGTGTGGCCAATGAAATGTACACACCAGGAAAATGTCAGTTGAAGGCATGAACTCACATTTGTAATTTATATTTCACAAGTTCTTGCAACATCCTACCCCTATGAAGGGCCTACCCTTTCACATCTAAGATCAGATGGGCACATGCACTGAGACAAAACAGGAAGGGAGACAAGGGAGAGGCCGGATTCACACAAGGAGAACTAACTAGCTTGGGTTGTTGTACACTTTCTCTGTAGGGATGGCAAAGAGGACTGTGTGGGAGAGACTAAAATTGAGAGTCAGTGGCAGAGAGAAGGAACATGTGTATCTTTAAAGATGTACCAGTTTTGTCATTAAAATAATAATTTAAAGAAACACTTTCTGCTAAATGTGTATTGATATCTATTCTTGCATTCCATCTTTGGCCACAGTTCCATAGAAAATGCAGCTTGTGTTTCCCCTGGAATAGTGTATCATCTTGCTCCTCACACTCATTATTTGTTCAAACCTTTCACTTCTACGTTAGACTCCACAGAGTGGCAGATGTTCAAATCCTCAAATATCTCATAGCCAATAACAAATACACACATGTCAAGCAATTACGGTGATCCTGATGCTTCATACCCCTCACGACTGAGAGAGTTGGCTTCAGGGAAATGGTTCTACAGCAAATGGGTGTTTTCCTTAGCATGAGCAGGATTGTTATGTTTGGCCTCATTTGAAGCTAAGGATTTGAAGTGGATCTGCTACTATGGGAATCAACCTGAGATAAGCCAGTGACTGGTCGTTGAACCCAGTCTGCCCTGATGAATCACTGGAAAGCACAGTTAAGGAAGCCATTTGCAGGTCTCTGTGACTACGTGTATTTAAACTACTTATGCTACGCTGATGGGAAGACTGTCTCACAAAAAAGTGCTATTGACCGGGATATTCTGAGCACTTCAGATGACATACACGTCTGTGCGGGTGGGTGGTGCCCACTTAAGTAGAAGGGGAAGTCGGAGCTATGTACTGACGTTTTTGCCTATGTTTGGGTGTTGATGCTTTGTCTGTCTTTCCTTGCTCCTAGCTTGAACTCTCAGACACTTACTGTTCAGCGTTGACACAATTCTCCTCACATCTGGCTCCAGAAAGCTGTGGGAAGGAAATAATCACAGACAGGAAAATGGTCACATCTGCAGCCTTCAGCAGCCTGACAATCATCTCTTAGGCCTGTGTTCTCTCAGACCTAGTTGCAAAGACAAGGACATTGCCATAGGGTTGGTCTACAATAGTCTGTGACATTGTTCATTCATTTGCCTACGGCTACTTCTCACAAGGCACAAGTGCCTTAAGAGGGCAGGGATCTTATATGTGGTTTGGATAGTGGCTGAGCATCACTACCTTTGGGAATGATGGACAGCCCTCTATTTCAGTTTGTCACCCTAGAAATCTCCTGACTCATTCCCCTGGGTCATTATGATTGTCTTCCTTGTCCTTGCCCAGTTGAAACATGGGTATAGTCTTTAATATATCAGTAACTCATCACACAAGAAGAACAATAGAGGGACAAGATGTTACAAAGAAAGAAGGGGAAAGATGAGAAGAAAAAGAGGAAGCCAAGAGAACATACAAGAAAAAAATGTACTTTCATATATCAGTTAAGTTGTGTGGGAAGTCAAGCAGACAGGCTGCTTCCTGCACAGGAATGTGATCCAGCTTAGTTTCTGCACTGTTTCTGTTCTTGCTAGACTTCCTACTTTGTGAACTTGGCCCTGGTATTTGCCCAGAAACTCCATCTATCTAGCCTTTTCTCAGCGAATGGATGCCTCACGGGCTTCTCTTTCACCATGGGGGTAAAATAAAGTGTTTAAAATATTAAAATAGTATTAAAGAGTCCTCTGGGGCTAATGAGATGGTTCAATGGGTAAGAGCTTGATGTTCAAGCAAGAGGACCTGAGTTTGAATCTTACCAGCCCTGTTAAAGCAGGATGTAGCAGCATGTACTGTCTCTGACTACTGTTCTAACTTTTTTCACTCTTTCCATGGGCACTATTCTTTCTCTCTCTCTCTCTCTCTCTCTCTCTCTCTCTCTCTCTCACACACACACACACACACACACACACGCCTTTGAGACTCCTCAGTACTAAGTGACCAATGTGTGATACTCTTTCCTCATTACATCTGTTTATTATCCCATCCATCTCCTCCCAGAATCAGTATAACTTGAAAAAAAATAAGCAAAAGAAAGGTTCTTCTCACCTTTTCACAGCTGAACTCACCTGGATGAAGTAAACCAGGATAGAGGTCATCATCACTCGGGCGCAGACGGCCATTAGGCTGAACACCTGGTCCAGAAGCGTCATGCTAGGTGCATCTGCTGTATCCTATCCATGCTCAGTGCCATGTGGATCTTCGTGGTCCGGAATTCCTAAAGAGAGGACTTTTCTCAGCAATAAATCAATACCCCTCTCCCTCTATTCCCCTGGCCTTCAAATTCCAGGATTTCTTTCTCCTTTTCTCTTGTAGTTGCCTTTGCTTTCTCTATTTTACTTCACACGGTCTCCCCATTTGTATCTTCCACCTTTCCTTTTGGTTATCAAGCCTTTCTATGCATTTAATCTTCCTCTGCCCCTAATGGAAAGGCATTGGAGGACACATTTGTCCTCTGAATTAGACTTTTTTCCAGTCCATAATGAGAAACTTAGATTTGCAATGGGCCAAAGGCAGATTGCGAGTGACCAGATGCGTTCTTGTGTTCATCAGGGAACTGGTTACAGTCTTGGCTCCTGGATGACCGCTAAAGTCTGAAAGTCACGCTGCCAATCTCCCTCCGCCCCCTCTCCGTGTGATTGGCATCCCCTTTCTTGATCCTTGAAAACTCCCTCACCATGTTGATCATCAACCCTGCTAGTTATGGGTCATTTATTGCAACCACTCAGCAGGATTGAGGGATTCCAAATGAGCCAGAAAGCCACCCGATCTTTAGAGTCGGAAATGGATTTAAAAACTAGACTCTCCGGGGCTATCAATCTTCTCTGTCCCCACTCTACATCAGTTTCAGCCCCATTGAAACCAACAGGACACACAGGCATCGCTTATAAAACTGATTGCCAAGAAAACCCCCTCGGTTTCTGTCTTTCGTGATACCCACCCCTCGCAAAGCAGAACTGTGATGTTGCCACTTGAGAACTAGGCACAATATGTCCAGCTGTGGCTTCATCTACTCAGTAAGCTGACGCAAGTGGATCATTTGATTCAAGTTCAGTAAAATGAGGCTTTCCTAGGAAACAGTAAGACCTCTATCTGAAAAAAACCATATTATCCACAATAAAATTAAGCTTAAAGCCATATTTAAAAATAAGTGCACCACAAAGGAAAAGATAGAAAATGGTTCTAAAGAAAATTCTCGTATGGAAACAGTGACTATCACGCGAATGCCTGACAGTTAATCAGGAATTCTTAAGCAGTGCGAAGTGCTAAGTACGAACATTAAGAGTTATTTACAGGGACATGTTCATTTCAAAAGACTGAACAAAACCACATCTCAACTGTTTTCTAATTAATAAGGGGAGGTTGCAGGGTGGCATCCTGACGAGGGGAGGCTGCGGGGTGGGCCCCTTCACACTCAGGGCCTCACAAACCCTATGACCACACTGTGACGACCTGATGCAGGAATGTAGAATTGAAACAGTTTCCTTTTCACAGCCAAGGAAAGCAAACAGCGAGGTAACTCCCTGGTACAAAGTTGGTCTACCCAAGTCTATTTGTCTATTTTTAAAACATTGGCTATTGAGTGAAAAGTATTTTCCAGATTTCCACAGAAATTTCTGTGAGATGGAAGGACTTTTGTAGGGACTGGAGAGTGAGGCATTAGTTACAACCTTTTACTAGACCTGGCCCTACTGCTCCTAGTCATACAGTAGGGAGCACAATGGATGTTCATTAGACTTGCATTTGCTTTTGTTTAATAGAGAAAGGACAATCAGGGACAAGGAAGCCTCTTGCGTAGAATATTTCTGTTCAAACACCATGTAGTGGGAAACCCCACGGACTCCTCCCTTTTCCTCTTCTTCTGGGAAAAGGCATAAACAACCATGGCTAAAAGCATAGCTCAGGGGCTTGAGGCAGCTGCTTGTTTAACCTCTTGTTAGCTGTTGGATATGGACAAGGTCTTCCATTCTCTATCAACTCAGTTTGATTTGATACAAAAGGTAATTTAATTCTCAGCACCCACATAGTAACTCGTGAGCTTCAGTGGTTCCAGTTCCAAAAGGCTCTGACACTTTCTTTCCTTCTTGGGAACCAGGCAGGTATGTAGTGAGTATATATACACAAAGGCAAAATACTCATAAAGATAAACTAAAAAATGAATGTTTATGATGCATACCACAGCTCTGGTAGCAAGCATTTGATATTAGTTAAGGTGTTTTAATTTAGCTCTGTTTTATATGTGATGGTTCCTTCCAGTATGCTGGATCATTAATGTCCACCATGCCTATCCCATTTTTCTACCAGCCCTCTCTAGATTGCACTATTCCTTTCCTTAAACAGTTCCCATGGTTAACTCCACCATTATGTCTACCCATACCAGCCTTCACCTGCATAAACAGGTTTCCCAATTACTTTGACTTTCTCCCTGTCCCAATCTCTGACCACATGATTGTAATCATCTCTCTTGCCCCCAAGCTTCTTAACAGGCCTGAACAAAACAGACTTCTGTTAATGACTGCCTTGTTTTTCTTGTTCAGAATTACTGGTACCATTTTTTTTTCTTATCCCACAAGGAGATAAAACTTAATTAATTTATTTTAATGTGTCATGCCCTGTGACACATTAGAATCACATCCTTTAAGTGGGAAACAATGGTAACGGAAAGACCAGTCAGAGAAGAAAACTGAAGGTCTCCATGGCATAAGGATGGGGGTGGACAGGGAGCTAGGGAAGATGGAAATATTCTTATTACCAGCCTACATTACCCCATCCCATTAAGCTTGTGAATCATTACCTTATACTCATGTTATAAAGAGCTGGGACCAGGGCCAGTGGCAGGTACCCATACACAGACCTCTTCACCTGTGCTTCAGGGAATTGTTATACAACCACTCTAACAAGTGTAGCCAAATCATTGCTAACTTGTGGTTCCTTTGATTATTCTCCTTTGACCTTGGCTGTCAGGTGCACACTCCATGCTCTCCTTTCTTTCTATGCCTCAATTAAACAGCGGCCAGGACTGTGGGTACTTAGAGACACTAACATCAAGCTGCACACATGATTTCAAGACTAGAGAAGGAGGCAGGAGTCAGTTTCATTCTAAAACTCCTGGGTGTCTCACTAGGAAATGTCTCTGCTTTAGGAACCAAGATCACAGCCTAGATATTGAATTCTAACCTCAGAGGCATTGAAAATTAGTGACAGGATTACACAGAAAGTGTTTCCACCCTTGAGAAAGAGGTTCATGTCTGACCTCAAACTTTTTCTGTAGCTAAGGGTGACCTTGGCTTCTGATCTTGTCTTTACCTTCCCAGTGCTGGGACTACAAGCACGTGCCACCACTTCCCCTTAGTGCAGTGTTGGTGATCAGGCTCAGAGATTTGTGCCTAAACTTAGGGAAGTTAAACAAGACAGAAAAATTCAGTTTATCAAAGGATGTCTGATTAAGATATCATGAAGCTCATTACTACAAATCGTGTGAGCAACAGTATAAGACAACACACACACACACACAGTATGAGTAGCGTGCCCAGCAGGGCAAGAAGTCTGTATACAGTTTAGCTGAGCCTATGCTTGGGATTCTAAAAGGCTGACATCAAGGTGTCTGGTTAACAGCATTCTTGTCGGAAGGCTGTCATAGCAGAGGGCCCACTTGCAAGCTCTCTTAGGCAGAATGTATTTCTTAGTGGCTATGGAATTAGTGTAATCATACTTTAAAAAAAACTTAGTTGAAATATAATTATATAATTTCCTGCTCATTCCATTTAGTATTACTTGGATGAACATGACTGACTGACCACTTGGTGTTGGATAATCAATGAGGGAGCTCATCATGGGAGAAGTTTATTTCTCCCTCTCTCAACATTAGGATCACTCATGGAACCTTGTAAACACAGTGCCTAAACTAGACCTCAACAAGGACAATAGACGTGAGAGTGCAAAGTCTCACAGGATCTCTCTTATGGACAAAGAACTTTAGGCAACTAAGAAACATTTCTTTATGTTCTAATAATGAGTGTGGAGACAGACACAGGGGAAGAGAGGTTTCAGTACACTCATCATGCGCCTGGAGTAATTCCTTGTGCATGACCACCTGCATTCTTTGACCTTTGCTACATTTTAAGTTAGAGCTCTGAGAATACATGCTCAAAGGGAAGCTGTGACACCAGGAGGTAGGGGTCATGGAGCATCCTGTATTCGTTTAAGTCTTTACAGTTTCTTGGAAACTTATCTCTGCAGATGTTTGGGATCAAGGGAAAAGACCGAGTGTGGTGGTGTGGTATCACCTTAATTCTAGCACTTGGGAGGCAGAGACAAGAGGGTCTCTGAGAGTTTGAACCAGGACAACATAGTGAGACCCTGTATCAAGAGCAAGACATATAGACAGACAGACAGGCAGACAGACAAACAGACACACACACACACACAAGAGAGAGAGAGAGAGAGAGAGAGAGAGAGAGAGAGAGAGAGAGAGAGAGAACAAGATAAACACATCAACCAGTGAAAAGATAAAATACAGTATAAAGAAAGGGGATTCTAAGCTGTGCTGTAATATGGATGAAACTTGAAGACACAAGTTTCATCAAACTAACTCAAACATTAAAAGAAAACTGGCAGATTCTTCTACTAACATGAGGTAATAGAGATTGAATGTCCACCAAAGGCTCAAGTGTTGAAGGACTGGTTGCCAGTCTGTGCCCACAGTTAGGAGATTGTGGGACCAAAGAGAGGTTCTAGAACAGGTCCTTGAATGAGACTGCCTACTTTCCTAGCTCCACAAGCTGAGCATCTTTTCATGCTGATTTTCTGCCTCACCACAGGTTCAAAACCATTGGAGATAATTGACTATTAATTGATGATGTTTCTGAAACCAAAGGCCAATATAAACCTTTCCTCCTTGCGTATTCATAATCTCAGATAGTTTGTTCAGGAATTAGAAATCTGGCACAAAGTACAGTATCAAAATTCAAGGGACAGAAAATACAGGGTTGATTTCAAGGAGGAAGAAGGAGTGGTCAATAGAAAGTTTCAGAGAGGAAGAATTGATGGAATGTGTGGATATGAAGACAGAAGTTTCTGAGATGAGATTGTCTCATGTGACTCTAGGGGTTGCCTAGTCAAAACCTGCAGAGCTACCCAGAAAAATGAAGATGCAGAAGAGTCAAGGGAGGGTCTAATTCCAGTTCAAAGACCAGGACAAAGACCAGAAGGAGCAGGTGCTGAAACTGAAGCCCAAAGGTCATATGTTAGAAAATGTTTCATTACACGGAGGAGGATAGTTGCTTCTGTTATTTCGGCCTTCATATTTTGAATGAACCTCCTTCAAAATATAAATAGGCCATCTGTCTCTACTGATTGATTGATTTATCTATTGTGTGATTTTTCATGGCAAGATGTGAACAAAATCTTCCCATCTCACCCTTCCTTCATCCACAAAGAAATGTTTGAATTTAGAGGAACTAGGTATACAGTATTAACCTCTATTCCCAAACATTTTGTCTAGGTATCAAGTGATCCAGACAAGGCAGGAAGTAGAATGAACCATCCCAGGAACTATTTGAACATTTTCAGTGAGAAAAGATGGGAACATTGTGCAGGTGGGGGGTGGTGACAATTGTATGACAATGTGAATGGACTTAGCGCGACCTTAAGCAGTACATCTACAGTAGCTAAAATATCAGTCATTCCGGAGTTTATATTCTTCGATATTGATAGTGTCTGAGACAAATGAGTCACTGTGGGAATTATAAAGCGTCCTTCTCATTGTACTGCTATTTCAGGGTTTATTAATTCATCACTATAAGAAATTTCCTGAGATTCTACTGAATCCTAGTGAAAGTGAAACTGAAAAGGCCACTTTGGAAATTGAGGGATACAGTCAATTCCTGGCATTCACTCCTCAGCTAGGAAACAGGGGTAGGAGTAGGTAAGGGAGGCATTGATTTTTGTTTTGTTTTGTTTTGTTTTTCAAATGCAGATCTTGGATAAGGTTGTGTTGGCTCTGTCGGCTGTTTTGTGAACTGTGTGACAGAAGAAAACTTTAACCGGCAAAAAAGCCGTTCTCAACTTGTTCTGGATATCCTTCACAGGGAGAGGGAAAACAAAAAGCTTGGCATGGAGAAAGGATACAGAATCATATACACTGTCAGGATTGGTGGTTTTTCCTGTATAATTTCCTAGACACCTTAACTATTCTTCTTTTATCTCTCCCTTTCCCCACTCCACTTTTTCTCTAAGTGGTTTAAAACAAAATTTAGCTGCTATAGAATCGTATACACACAAACTCCAGAAAAGGTGTTTAGTAGGTAAGGGATTCCTTTTTACAAAGGCTCATACAAGGACTGGATTCAAGATAAGATCTCCAGAACTCAGTTAATGCCCATTACAGACTCCCCTGTCTGTAATCTCAATACTCCTACTGTGAGATGGAGGACAGAGATAGGAGAGGACCATGACATCTTTCAGATCAGCTAGCCTAGAGCATGCATCAGCAAATTAGAGACCTTTTCTTAATCAGTGGGTGACCAGGGCCTATCAACACCTGTGTTGTCCTCTAACCTCCATAGACACCTGTGTTCTGCATGCATGCAAGCAAATGTGCACACAAACACACACATGTTAAAATATAAATTATTTCAAAGAGATCTATCATTTCATGATGGGAAAACAAATGAAGATTCCTTCTATGGACAGCTATAGTGGTTAAAATCCCAGGAAGTATTGGTCAGACTAAAACATAATCTATTCTGGTCAACATAACTATCCTGGATATAAGGATTAATAGTAGTTTTACCTATTATTTCAGAGTTTTATGTCCCACCTACATTTCTCACAATATCTTTTAAGGTCCTGTTGAAACATTTTAATTCCTTTTTTTTTAAGACAAGACTCACTATAATGACTTTTTTGTCCTGGAACTCAGTATTAATTATAAACCAGGTTGGCCTTGGACTCATGTAAATCCACTTGGCTCTGTATCTCCCACACTAAGTGCTGGAACTAAAGTCTTATGCCACTACAGTAGGCTATTGAAATACTATCAAAATATACATTATCCTCAAACCACAAACAAATATATAAATTAAATATAAGTATTTTTCCAAGATGACAGATTCAGGAGAAGATACAAAACCTTACTCTATTTAGTACCAAAGGTCTCATGCTGTTGTTCAGAGTCAGTGTGGTCAAGACTGCCCCTAATGAGTCCTTTATCATGGCTAGAAATGGGAATCTTCCATGATTTATATTACATTTCTAATTTCCAATCAAAGCAATGAAAAGTAAAATGTACTACTTATAAAAAGGTAGCACACAGCAACAATCTGCTTGAGTGAATCAGCAAACAGATAAATGTGGAAAATTAAGTCACATTCCTTTCTACAAACCTGGCTTGAAGCATGTGCTTCTTTGAGTTTCAAGCCCTTATCTGATAACTCTACAGTGTCTTTCCTATAATTGTCGTGGACACTGCATTTTTGCCTGCTGTCTCTTAGGAAAAGGTCATGAAACAGGACTGGAATTACCATTCTCCCCACCCACAACAGACACAACCTAAGAATTCGTGTTAGCCAACTTTCCAATATGAAGCAAAGTCTCCCCTTCCTCCTGCGACGGTTGAGTCATCCCTTGCTAGATAAGAACAGCTATTTAAACTGCACCAGAAGCTCACTCCCTGACAGTTGGTTGAGGTCGTGGACTGCTTCAGCTTCTCATTTTTGGCATGAATTTGGAAATGACTTTTGATGGCAAGATGAAGTCTGTGAACGAGCAGCCTGACCAGAAGGCATGTCATAAGAAGGCTAAAGGTACCAGGGATGGGTGGGTGCTTACAGAGACAGAATGCCAGCTTAGCTTAGGAATTCAAATTAAATGTGCAGGAGAATGACTTTAAGAAGCAAAAACATTAGAATATCAGGAAATACAAGAGGCTAATATCACTTATTTAGAAGAACAACAAGTAGAACTCAAGCTAATAACTTGCCTCCGCTACATCTTCACTGTAAGCTGTTATCCATGCTATCTCTTTACATTAGTGACTTCTCTGAATCATTATCCTGAAGGCTTCAAGAGTGCTGCCGACATTTTCTCCTTCTACAGAGAGCGAACCCAGAATCAGGGTTAATGAAGTCACTTACACTTTGTGGAACCATATAAAGTAGAGCCAAAATCGTACCACAGATTCCCATATCTGCAGAATCCAGTTCATGAAAAACTAGTAGGGAATGCTTTCATTCACAGCACACAGTGATGACTTTTATATGTGTTGTTAAAGTACTGTAAATATTTGAAATGCTTTATGAATTATCTAAAGCGATTCAGTATATTCAGTATGGCTGAGGACACATTAGACTTGGTTGTCTATCACTGATTTGAAAGCTTATAGTTTATGTTTGGCCAATATAGTAAATTGAATCACTTAAGTTTAATTGATAAGCTCAATTATGTAGACAACTACAGACAATATGCCTATTATTTTATAAAATTAAGAGAAAAGAGGCTGGGAAGTGGTGGTGCACACCTTTAATCCCAGCACTCTGGAGGCAGAAGCAGGCCAGCTTGGACTACACAGAGAAAGTGTGTGTGTGTGTGTGTGTGTGTGTGTGTGTAGGTGGGGGTTGGTGTGGTTATGAAACATAAGAAGTGGAAGAAAGATAGTCTATGTCTGTAAACAAGACTGCAATCTTTCCATGGGTAGAGTAATGGTGAGTATGGTGTGATTTAATATATGAGTTGCTGAACTAGCTCAGAGTGAAGACAGTACTGGGGGTTAGTAGTAGACCCAGCAGCAGTTAAGCTAGCTTGTTGTGAAGAATTGCAAGTGTTTAATAGTAGATTCAGGAGATAATGCCAGTCAGTGATTTGTTCAACCATTCATTCGTTATTGTGCAATAACTATTGCTTGCCTGACTTTTGCGGTAAATATGACAAATTCTTTAAGGTCCCTGGTTAGATTAGTGACCTACTGTGAACTGTATGCATTAGGCACTGAATTCAGTGAGGAAGTATTTGTTTGTTTCTTTATTGATTGACTAAGGGTTGCTTTCTGACTAAAATCCATAAGTCAGGTGAATTAGAGCACAAAAATTTCTGCCGCTGAGATGGGGTGAAGGTATCTTATAGATAAAAGGACCACATGTCTTCTTTTCACATGGGTGGCTCACAGGATTGGTGTTTCCATTTGAGCTGTGGGTATACAATATTGGGTGAGTTCTTGAGTGTGTGAAAGATAAAGGTGTTCTTACACACAGCTACATGGTGCCAGGTGCCAGGATTAGATAACCATTTGTAAAAGTTATTACTCTTTTCTATTGTCTCCAGCTCACCACAAGTACAGAGACAGACACCGTTGAGGCAGAGGATAAGCTGTGTTTCCTCCAGTCACAATTCCTATCTTTAAAAAAAGTATCTATAGAATCTCACAGAGATTATTAAAACATGAGAACTCTGTGAATATATTTGACCCTTGATTGACCTGAACATTTACCCCATTTATACTGAAATTTTGGTAATGCAATACACCAAGCCTTGTGGCTTACTAGTATTAGGTTAACGGCCTGTGTTTGGAGTCAGATCTGGTACTGCACTAGGGAGGCTGAGGCAAAAAAGTTCACCAGTCTGAGGCCATCCTAGTCCACTTAGTGACTTCCAAGACAATGTGGACTACAAAGTAAACATTGTCTCAAGCAAGAACAACATAAAACCCAAAAATCTACCTTCTAAGTTTTATTGCATGTGCGCTCTCAAGCTAGTGGCTGAAGCTTCTGGTGTCTTCTTTACATAGAAAGGAGAACATTATCAGTGCTCTGTTTATCTTACAGGGGAGGAAGCCTAATACATTGTCTATGATGTTTTTCTCTTAAGTCTGTAATGCCTGCGGTTATTCATTACTGGTACACATAACTGTACATTCTCATGTCAGAGTTATGTCTTAAGTCAGAGCTGCATGGCTCATTTTCATAAACAAGGTGACTTTTTCTCTGGAGATAATAGGCCTAGATATCTGAACTTACTTCACATCAGCCACCACCATTATCAGAATCCGAGCTGGAATAACATCTCTTTTAGCTGACTTGCTACACTTCATGGAGGAAACATCAAATGATTCCCTACCATACTGAGCACTCGGTTTTATTTTTCTACCTCATGTAAGGGGTTTGCCACACTTAACCTAAGCACAAGGCAAGCTATTGCTATCAGTCAAGTGCATACCAAAGGCTTTGTTCCTAGTTTCCTTTGGTTAATAAGTCTAGTTTCAAGAGGCAATTTTTATTAGAATGACAATTGAATGGCATGATATCAGGCATAACATTTCTTGAGGAAATCTCAGGTGACTGATTAAAATGTTTTGCTTGACATCTGACAGCAGTTGGAACTATATTACTTAAGAGTAACCATACACATGTGTGTGTAAAGATCAGATGTTACTTTGGAATACCTGTGTCCATGTGTATGTAAAGATCAGGCTTTCTGCACCGTAGATGGAGTTAGGCTGTACTGAGAGTTCTTCCAAGGGCACTGTGCACAGAACAGATGAAGTTAAAGCTTTAGAATCAAGTATTTGGTGTTGGATGCCCCACAGAACCCCAGCTGTTATTTTTTTCCCGTGTCAGTCCATGAGTAATTTGCTTCAGTTCCATAACCATCCACTGCTCCACCTGCACAGATGCAGGTCCTGTGTGGTTTGGGAGGGGGCTAAGACGTGCAGAGCACAGAGCCAAGGCAGGATCCGGAGCCCAGCTTGTTGATCTAATCTGCCTTTGCTGTTTTCAGTTTTCTGGTTCTCCTTCCCTGCAGGTTTGCTTTTTCTTTTGTCCCCATGGTGGTGCCCTGCTGCTATGGTTCTCATCATCGTTTGCCTGGGGTTATCAGTGACCCTTATTATACAGTGGATGCAATGTAAGTTTTAAAATAAGGAACTGGAGGTGGGGGATGGGGGTGATGAACACATCTGGTAATAACTATAAGTGAGTGTAGATTTAGACTTATTTTGGGCAAAATGCTTTGAGAAGAAGCCAAGAGTTTAATGTATATATTGTGTTTTTCCCTTTACTACAGAGAAGCATGAAATGGAGATTATTCACAGTAGAATGCTTTTGTTTTGCTTCATAATTTCCTGGATGAGCCTATTTGCATTCAAGAATAATTTGATAATAACTTGAAGGTTATAATACATAGGGTTATCTGAGCAACCCAAGAGGAAAAGAAAACCCATTTAGCTTTGTTTGGATGGATCTGATTAAATGTTAAAAATCATTATTGCCCCCTTAAAGTAAGTAAAGCACTAAGAGCAAAAAGTTCTTTGAGTTTATAACATGTAGGAAATTGGAGATACTGAAAGGGAAAAAGAAGACACAGAAAAAAAGATCAGAGTGGCCAAGAAGGAAAGATAAGATTTTCTCTGCATTAACGTGCAGTTTTCCGGGCTGAATTATTCTGCCAGTCAGATTCGAAACATAAGGCCCCAGAAGCACCACTTCTTTCCTACATGTCTAAGTCTGTGCAATTTTTTGTTTTGTTTTTGTTTGCTTGCTTGTTTTGAATTGTTTGTGGGCGCCTGAGGCCTTTCCTAAGGAGGTGCAGGGGATCCCACTCGATGGCAGCAGTCTGAAGTGAGGTGTCCATCACTATCCAGAGGACTCAGGTCAGGCCTTGAAGCAAAGGGTCAGCAGCAAGTTGCACTAGAACTAAGCTGAGTTCCCAAAACAGAGTTCATTTCTGCCTGGTTACACAACATTCGTTTTGTCTCCACCACCCCAAACTATCTACGGCTAAAATGAAATCTACTCTCGATGACACCATACAGAAATTTATATATATTTCACGGGTGGTTGCCTTAAAAATGAAGGCAAAGTCGGAGTTTCTAAATAAAATTTAGGAAGTGTGTGGTGTAGACAGAGTGGGAGGAGCTAAAGAGGAATTAAGCGAATAAATTGCTAATGGCATTTCCTCCTGTGAATCAGAGTCTAGGGGAGAGGTGACCACTATGGATTGCCAATATTATATTTGTTCCATTAAACTATTTCATTTTTAACTTACTTTTTAAAAAAAACATATATATTTTTCATTTTACACACCAACCCCAATTCCCCCTTCCTCCCCTCTTGTGACTTTCCATATTCCCCATCCCACACCATATCCACTCCTCAGAGGGTGTAAGGCCTCCCTTGGGGAGTCAGTGAAGTTTGGCATACCAAGTTGAGGCAGGACCAAGCTCCTCCCTCCTGCATCAAAGCTGAGCAAAGTATTCCACCTTAGGAAATGGGCTTTAAAAAGCCAGTTCATGCATCCAAGATAAGCCCTGATCCCATTACCAGCCTCCCCCCCCCCCCCGCTCCCCAAACAGATCAAGCAACATAACTGTCATTCACATTCAGAGGGCCTGGTTCAGGCCCATGCAGGTTCCCCAGATGTCAGTCCAGTGTCTGTGAGCTCCCAGCAGCTCAGGTAGGCAGCTGTCTCTGTGGTTCCCCATCAAGATCTTGACTCCCATTGTTCATGTGATCCCTCCTCCCTCTCTTCAGCTGAACTCCAGAAGCTCAGTCCAGTGCTTGGCTGTGGATCACTGCATCTGCTTCCATAAGTTACTGGATGGAGGTTCTATAATGACACTTCGGGTAGTCACCAATCTAAGTACAGGGGAAGGCCAGTTCAGGCACCTTCTCCACTGTTGCTAAAAGTCTTAGCTGGGGTCACTCTTGTGGTTCCCTGAGATTTTCCTAGCACCAGGTTACTCACTAACCCCATAATGCCTCCCTCTATCAAGTTATCTCTTTCGTTGCTCTCTCTCTCCATCTCTCCCCCAACTCAGCCATCTCATCCCTCATGCTTCTACCCCCCATCCCCCTCCCAGTTTACCCAGGAGATCTTAACTATTTCCTTTTCCTGAGGCCCTCCATGAGCATACCTTTTAGAGCCTTCCTTTTTATTTCTCTCCTTGTCATTACTTTAAATTTTTTTATTTTACTTCCTTATTGTTTGAGAATTTCGTACTCATATATATAATCCATTTTGATCAAGACATCCCCATTCTTCTCTCACAACCCTCCATTCCCTCTGAATTTCATGTGTTCTGCTTCTAATTTTAAAACCACTTACTGCTGCTTGTCTAGGCATGGATATAGGGCCATCTGCTGGAGCATAGGGAGTCCCACAGGAGCATCATCCATGAAGAAAACTGACTCTCCCTTTCCAGCAGCAACCAATTGCCAAGAGTTCCCCTCAAGTAGGGGTGGGATCTGCGAACCCATACTTATCTTTTCTCCAAACTAAACATAGAACCCAGGGGCTTTAGCATGCTGACTAAGCCCTCCCCCATTGAGTTATAACTGTACCTGTCACCCCTTTGCCACATCCCTTTGTCACTACCTATACCTTATTACCACTCCCACTATTTATTTTGTGTATAAATCTCAACAAAAATAAAGCTGTTGAATTTTTTATTAAGAAATATCTACATGGTTATAATGAAAATTACAATTGGTTTGCAATTACAAAAACACAATTGAATAACTTCTAAGTTAATAAATTCTGGATAAATTTTGGTAATTGCCCCACAGCCTTGAGTACATTTGTTCTTCCATTGCTGTTCAAATTTATAAAGCATTTCTGACAACACATACATGCTGTCAAGAGAGATTATTTAAGTCTGTGTTTTAATGTTCTGGGCATCCAGGGACAGCGTTTGTACTAGAGAGGAGAGCCTGAGTTTTAATTCTCTGTGGTTTAGTACTCCAGGTATCTGACCTCCTAAAGCAATACCAAACAAACCTTACTCACCAAGAACATATCCTGGAGGGACAGATCTTAGCCCAGCAGCAAGCATCAAATGCTTCAGAGAAGAAACTCAAGGAAACTATAGACACCCTTACCTGGGAGCTGAAGGAGAAATCCAAAGAGCGCGAAGAACTTCTGCAACAGAACGTGAACCTCCAAGAAGCCCTGCAGAGAGCTGAAAACTTTTCAGGTACAGGACAGAGGCAGTGAGGAGGGGTGGTGGTGGATGTTCTGCTCGGTCTTAAAAAGGTTTCACACAGCCAGCGCCCCACATGTAGGCCATGCCTTCAGAATGCTCTACACAAGCTCTGTGCCACTGCCATTTTTACTCTAGCCTGTGTTAAGTCTTGTAAACATCCAATTTGATGGAGCCCTCCTTTTTTTCCTTTTCTCTTTTCATTTTTAGCTTTGAGATTTGTGTGCTATCCTGTCCCATCATTGCCTTTGCCACAGATATGTTATTATTTCCATCCAAATGCATCTTAATCGCTGGCTTCCCTGTCCTTGAGAGTCTTCCTGTCATTGTAATTCCTTATCACAGCTCCTGTGTTTACTCCATTCTGAGACACTGTTTCTTAAAAGGGCACTACAACTGTCTATGTACAGCCCACGGAGGTCAGTTGACTTGGAAGGTTTAGGTAGGTACTTCAGGTTGAGCAAAAATAAGAGGTCTGGAAAGTGAGTTTGTATAGGAATTGAGATGGCTCCATCTGTCTAAAGGGATTTGGAATCTAGGGAACAGACCTGGCAGGCAGAAAATGAACAGATGACGCTGTCAGGTTTTGTTCTAGTACAGGAGCTTTCTACATTATTGAGTTTTTTACACTCTGTAATCAAGCGAGGTGTGTGCTTCTAACTACGAAGTTAGGTGTGCAGAGTCAGACAACACTTTCTTGGGCAGTGCACGAATGAAGAGGCTATTTTCAGGATTAGAACTTAAGTGCCATACAAAAGCACATTTCCCACCTTTTTGCTTGTCTGCCTAACTGTTCAATTGTGCAGTTTTGTTAAGTAAAGATTACATAATAATGCATAGATAGCCACTTTATTTTGTATAGACAAAAATATTGAGAGCAGGATAGATTTTAACAATAATGATAATGTGTGGTTTGATGTAAAGTTACTCAGTTTGTAAGTCTTTTCAGGCCCAGCATGGTGGAACATCCCTTTAATCCTAACATTGGGGAGACAGAGTTAGGTAGATCCCTGAGAGCAAGTCCAGCATTGTTTACATAGTGAGTTCCCACCAGGGCTACATAGGGAGATTAAACAAATAAATAGATGAATAAATCCTTTCAGTATTAAAGGGGCAATTTAACTTTGCAAAAATAATCAGAAAGTTTTAGAAAAACTGACTTTTGACTAGTCTCATTCTGGTGGCCATGTCAGAGGAGCAGTAGGTGGCAATTGACTTCAGGATGTTAACCCACCAGGAGGAACATTCTTGATGGTGAATCTTGAATAGGCAAGGTCCTGAGATCATAGACCACAGAGTGTCTTTTCTTTTGCTGTTCCTTTACAATTTGCCCCTGCCATCTTCCTCTGGTATCTGGCATGTGCTAATGGGTGTGCCGAGATGTCCACTGACTGTAATGCAGTATGTTTATCTCGTGGAAACACCCTGCTCTATTGTTGTTTTTTAACCTGTGGATCATTAGGAAGATAATTCCTTCCTAAATTATACTGTCTAATTGATAATAGTAGTGTTAGTTTATACAGAGTTTTGGTGGTTAAAAATAGATACAAGGAATTGTCACACAGCTAGAGACTATGAAATTTACCTATGGAGCTGAATAGATTGCAGTTCAGGTTAATGATTAAGAAAAATAATTGAATCCCCAGGAGCCAGAGTGTCTCTAATTCTCTTAATACTGAATGATGTATTTACAGGTTTTGGTGTATATCATGAGTTGAAACAAAACCTTAAAATAACTTCAGAATAGATCAAAGGTCTTGGTAATAGCTTTGAGATGAAAAAAAAAACCCAGAAAACAATCTGAAGTTCACAAGGACACATAGCTGAATTATAGGTTCGATAACACAAAGCAACTTTCAATTGTTGCTAGTTGATGCATTTTCTTTGCTGGGTTTGCTTGGTAACCAAAGGATACGATTACTTCTTTGCTCCCATTTTTGCCCCCAACCTCCCCATATAAGAAACTAAAGATAAGTGGGTGAACACCCCAAAGACTTAAAGTAGAACCGACTGGTTCTTTTTCCATTTACAAAAGTTTAGGTTTGTGATTCCTTTAAGTTTCCTTTCAAGAAAAGTAATAAAGTAACTGGTCCTTTCTTTTAAACTGCAAACCTGCAGCCTGCCAGTAAGAACCTGACTGAGAATATCTTGCTTGCCTAAATGGTAATCTATAGGAAGTTGACTGGGTATGAATGCAAGTGGATTCTTGGGTAATTTGCTTTTCACTTGCTATATATAAAATGTTTACTCTTGTAAGGGATGTTGAAAACATGCTATTTGTACTTATATTCATTCACTTGAAAAACAATGCAAGCACATGGTAATTTTTATATATAATATAAAATTTATATTTATATCACAGCTTTTAAGATTTTGTTGCGATATTTAAGTTATAAGAAAAAGAATAAAGATAGAGTTAAAATGGGCTAGAAGGAAGACATCAAGGTTGAGAGTTAGAAGTGCAACATCAAGAATGGTAGAGTTAAAAGGAACTAGAAAGTAAACATCAAGAAAAAAGAGTTAGAAGGAAAGTTTCAAGAAGGAGAGAAGAAAATCGCCAGGAAAACAAATAGTAGAGATGCAAAAGAAGAATAAAGGAAAGGTCTGAAAGCAACCATCAAGAGACTTGTGACTGTCTTTTTCTCTAATCCCTCAGATAAAAATGTCTAGGACATGCCAACACTGTGGATTTTCCTTTGAGCCCTATGCTGCAGCAGCCTTTCAAGTACATTTATTTCTCCATTGCTATTCACATTCATAAAGCATTTCTGTCAACACATACATGCTGTCAAGATAGGTTATTTGAGTCTGTGTTTTAATGTTTTGAGCATCCAGGGACAGCGTTTGTACTAGAGAAGAGAGGCTGAGTTTTAATTCTCTGTGGTTTAGTACTCCAGGTATCTGACCTCCTAAAGCAATACCAAACAAACCTTACTCACCAAAAACATATCCTGGAGGGACAGATCTTAGCCCAGCAGCAAGCATCAAATGCTTCAGAGAAGAAACTCAAGGAAACTATAGACACCCTTACCTGGGAGCTGAAGGAGAAATCCAAAGAGCGCGAAGAACTTCTGCAACAGAATGTGAACCTCCAAGAAGCCCTGCAGAGAGCTGAAAACTTTTCAGGTACAGGACAGAGGCAGTGAGGAGGGGTGGTGGTGGATGTTCTGCTCGGTCTTAAAAAGGTTTCACACAGCCAGCGCCCCACGTGTAGGCCATGCCTTCAGAATGCTCTACACAAGCTCTGTGCCACTGCCGTTTCTACTCTAGCCTGTGTTAAGTCTTGTAAACATCTAATTTGATGAAGCTCTCCTTCTTTTCTTCCTTTTTTCTTTTCAATTTTAGCTTTGAGATTTGTGTGCCATCCTGTCCTGTCATTGCCTTTGCCGCAGATATGTTATTATTTCCATCCAAATGCATCTTAGTCATTGACTTCCCTGTCCTTGAGAGTCTTCCTGTCATTGCAATTCTTTGTACCAGCTCTCGTGTTACCTTCATATGGTGCACCATTTCTTAAATGAGCACTACATCTGTTGAAGTACAACCCATGGAGGTCAGTTGACGTGGGAAGTTTAGGTAGATACTTCAGGTTGAGCAAAAGTAAGAGGTCCGGAAAGTGAGTTTGTATAGGAATTGAGATGGCTCCATCTGCCTAAAAGGCTTCGGAATGTAAGAAGCAGACAGTGAACAGATGATGCTGTCAAGTTTTGTGCTAGTACAGGAGCTTTCTTGATTACAGAGTGTAAAAAGCTCAATAATGTAGGCAAGTTGTCTAGACCTTTTCTTTAGTCCACAAAAAACTGATTTATTTACATTTACATACTGTAATGGGGTTAGACAAACTATGAAGGAAGTTTCACACTCTGCTTTAAACTCATACATGCCCTTTCTATTTTACTTTCTGCTTTCATTTTTCCAGAAACTTTCTATTCTATCCTTTATGTACACATTTTTGTTGTGCTAAATAGATTCTCAGTCTGTCCCCAGATTGGCCTGGGACTTATTATTTAGACCAGATTGGCCTTGAACTCTAGGAATTCTTCCTGCCTTAGTCTCCTGTATGTTGGAGTTGTAGGCAATATTAGGTCTACATCTGCCTTTCTGGTAAAGCTTTCTTGTATAAATTTATCAGGTGTATTTGTGTTACAATAAAAATTGAAATTATAATTTATCTTTTGTAAAGACTTTTCCCCATTTTGGTCACACTATAGAGCTAAAGTCTGTTCCTTATGTGTCACCACTGCAGTGAGGTGATGATCCACAAGATGTCAACACACAGATGTTGATAACTTTGGCTACTGCCTTCTCCCAGAGGTGGGTTTGCTGGACTCCCCAGCAGACTTGCTGCTAAGAACATCTTATTTACTGAAGTTAAGAGTGCTCATTTTATACCAATAAAACATTCTACCTGAATCAAACTTGTCCAAAAGAGTGTGAGTTTCTATGCGACAGTAAATTTTCTAGTATGAACATGTTTAAAGAAAGAAAAAGAAACAGAGAGAATTAACTGTAGTGAAATATTTTATTTAGCCCAAGCATGTGAAATATTAATTTAACATGACGTTATAAGGTTTCCAACGGGCTAGTCTGTTCTGATGCATGGTTCTGATGAAGCTCTCAAAATCACATGTGTACTTTAAATGCAAACACAGGTGACTGCAAACTTACCTCATTTCAGAAACCACATTGGTGACAGTATTGGACAACACATGGATAAAAGAAGAAGACAAAGTAACCAAAACTAATTCTGCTATTTAGAGAAATACAGTTTTTTAAATGCACATTTAGCTTTGTAATAACAGAATGGCTGAATAAACATCCATTTCTTGAACTCTTATTTTCATAATTTCAAACAAAATTTTAAAAAATATCAAATTCCAAACTTGCATACCAATTTATCCCTTAAGAAGGGAAATGAAGCTGGATAGTGGTGGTGCATGCCTTAGGAAGCAGAGGCAGGTGGATTTTTGTGAGTTCAAGGCAAACCTGGTCTATGAGAGCTAGTTTCCAAGACGTGCTCCCAAGCTACAGAGAAATCCTGCCTCGAAAAAAAAAGCAAAACAAACAAAAAAAATGAAATGCTAAATGGGAAGTCAACCCAGTTTGCGAAAATCAGCATGTTTTAGCACTTCTTCTTCTGACGCACCCTCTTCTTCTTTTATAAACATAAAATACAGAAAGAGGAAGTGGGAGAAGTTGGAGGAGGGAAAATTATAATCAAAATACCTTGTATGAAAAAATATATTCAATAAAAGAAAAATGTATAAAGGGAAATAAGAATTGGAAAGTTGGCTCAATTTTAAGAGCACTGACTGGTCTTCTGGAGGACTTAGGTTGGTTTTTCTGCATCCACGTAATGTCTCATCACTGTTTGCTACTCCAACTCTAGTGGATTTGATGCCCTTTTCTGGCCTCTGAGAGTATTACATACACGTGTTGCACATACATGCATGGAGGCAAAATACCCATACACATAAAATAAAAATAAAATGTAAAAAAATGACTTAACAAAATGGAAACAAAGATTCTGACCATTCTGGAATTTGTAGAATGTGGGTGTTATTCTAAGGAAGAACTGAAGAAATGTTTTTACTCAGAAATCATCTGTTCTATTAATTCTTCCTAGGTCCTTGCCCAGAAGACTGGTTATGGCATAAAGAAACCTGTTACCTGTTCTCTTCAGAGTCATCTTTCTGGACCCAGAGCCAAGAAACTTGCCTGTCTTTGGATGCTCAGATGCTACAAATTAATAGCGTAGATGATCTGGTGAGTCATTTGCGGTGATGATGATCAGGCTTAGGTTCTTGGGAGAGTGTCTTAGAGTGTTATTGCCCTTAATGGATGCCATGAACATGGCTGTAGTACTGGACCCCGACAAATGGCAACTTTTAGAAGGTCAAATATTTAATTGGACCTGGCTCACATTTTAGAGGTTTAGTTTATTATCAGCATGCAGGAAGCATGGTGGCACACAGGCAGATATGGTGCTGGAGAGGAGCTAGTTCTACATTTGGATCCACAGACAGCAAATAGAGAGTAACAGTGGGCCTTACTTGAGCTTTTGAAACCTCAAAGTCCACCCCTTGTGACATACTTCTTCCAGCAGAGCTACACCTACTCCAACAAAATTCCACTTCCACTCTTGATGAGTCTCTGGGGACATTTTCATTCTAACTACCACAGGAAGGAACACTTGTTTGAGAGGGAAAATAGCTGTTTTTACTGTCTGGTTGCATACTTGGCCTTGGGCATATAGGATGTGTGATTTCAGTAGGCTTCTGTAAACATTGTCATTAAACCACCAAGGGATGCAGAAGATCTTTTGGATAATAAGGTTGATGAATCTAAGGTTAGAGTGGTATCTTTCCACAGAACTTCATCTCACAAGCAACTTCCCATTCCACCTCGCCATTTTGGATGGGATTGCACAGGAAGAAAAAAAACGATCCTTGGCTGTGGGAGAATGGCTCTCCTTTGCGTCCTCACCTGTAAGTCTATTTCTCCTCTTGGTGCACATTGTGAGTGCTCTATTCCTGACTGGACCTGTTTTGAAGCCACTGTCACATGCCACATATGTCCTCTTCCTGTCAGAATGAAGGGTAGGGAATCAATGAAAGTTTGAAGAGGATTTGTTATTTTCCCCTTCAGACCTTCGCTGGCATTATTATTCTAACATTATTCTAACACAATGATGCCACATGTCATTTTTTTTTCCCTTTTCTCCCTACCTGCAGATTTAAGATCAGGGGGATTCCTGCCCAGACGCATCCATCAGGCACCTGTGTGTACATTCAAGAGGGAGCTGTTTTTGCTGACAACTGCATTTTAACTGCATTCAGCATTTGCCAGAAGCAGGCAAAGCTTTTGCTAATGCAATGAATTTAAAGATCCTGGAAGAACAGGAGAAGACCTTGGACTGTTGTTGTGAAATTTAAGCTATTCTTGCCTACTTGAATGTAAAACATGATTTCCCTGACAGCTGTCAGCAAACTACTACCTTCAGTTCACCTCAGCAGAGGCAAGGACCAGAAGCAGAGACTGGGGATCCAGTTGGTTGACATCTTTGTTTCCGACGTTGTGAGTTCAATTGTTTATCCACAGCTTTGCTCTGTCCAAGCCTCCCAGTCAACTTGCAATCCTTCATCCCTTCCCTGTTTTAAATGATGACGCCTGCTTGACCTGAAAAATCAGCCTCCTATACCTCAGAGTGACTTTTGGAGCTGCATGGAAGGCAGAATATAGAGACCCTGCTAAAGTGCAGGCTGAAGGCTCAGGAGGAAGGTGTGTCTGAGAAGCAGAACAGAGGAAAAACAACGCTACAAGCAGGGACTTGTGTTGCTGCTGAAGCCCTAGCTTGATCTTTGTAACTGTGGTCCATCTCCAGACTGCACCATTTACACGTTTGCATTTCTAAATTTTATTTTATGTTTGTAGGGGGTTGCCTACATGTGTTTCTGTTTGCCACATGAGTGCCTGATACTGTTGGAGATCAGAAGTGAGCATACTGTCCCCTTGGAACTGGAATTTACAGATGGTTGTGAGATGTTATATAGGTGATAGGACTTGAACTCGTGTCCTCTGGAAGAACAGTCAGTGTTCTTCATCATGAACTACCTCTCCATTTGCTGTGATCAGTTCTTGCATAAGTTGTTTCTTCATCTTTTCTCTATCAAACAACAGTATTGTGAATTTATCCCTGTAAAATAGTATTGGTTGGAATGGTATAAAATGTGGGCCCAAAGCAAAACCAGACATTTTTCTTTTTAAATTACACATCCTATGTAGACAACTTCTCCTTGATTGCTATGCTATGATTTAGAAACACATATGACCAAGATGGAAGAAACTAAGTTTTGGGACAAGTTCGTAGAGCAATATGAGTTAGGTATAAAAAATCGTGGGGTTTTTTTTGTTTGTTTTTTTGGAACAGATGGACTTAGAAGCTTCTATTTTCAAAGCTTCCATTCTCCACACACTTCATAGACCCTTCCACTTCAAAGGAAGCATTCCATTGTTTTAGGTAAACAATCGTGTGTGTGTGTGTGTGTGTGTGTGTGTGTGTGTGTGTGTGTGTGTGTTTATATGATAGCTGCATCCTTGGGGAAATGAGACAGGGATAATTTTTCACTGGCAGATTTTCTGTGTAATGAACTTACACTAAACTGAATTTGTAAATAATGTAAACTGTGGTGATCATATCACCATAGCCAAGGTGATGAGCATATCTGTCACTTTTGTCCCTTCCCAATGCCTCCTCCCTAAAGCAAACACTGATCTGTTTTCAGCTTGCATTTCAAAGAGTTTAGATTTTTTTTTTATGACAGGGTCTCACTATGTAGCTCTGGCTGACCTGGAATTCATTATGTAGACCAGGCTGATCTCTGACTCAGAGTTTCTCCTGCCTCTGACTCCCAAGTGCTAAGATTAAAGGAGTGCATTGCCACATGTAACTCGAACAGTTTATGTGAATGGAATTACCCGTTATGTGGTTTTGGTCCAGCTTTTTTTTTTTTTTCACTTGGTGCTATTATTTTGATAGGCATGTATTTCCACCTCAGTGTTTTCATCAGTTTCTCATTCATTTTCAATGTTAAGCATTCCACTACGGGTACAAACTGTTCATTGTTTATCTGTGTACTTGTTGATGTCATTTGGGTTGTTTAAGGTTGGGTTCACTTACTAATAAAGCTGCTACAAATGACCATGAGCAAGTCTTTGTCTAAACCCAGAATCTGATTTCTCAGATAAGCACCCACAAGTGTGATGTTCAGTGCATGAAGTACATAGAAATAAGGTTAGTGATTAGAGAAACTGCTGAACGTTTTTCCAAAGTTAAAGCACTGAACTTTGAACCAGTTCCTTTTCATCTGCACTGTAACTCAGTATGGTCAATATCATCACTTTCACCAATCTTTTTGAAAATATTAATTTTTAGATTTTACTTTATCTGTAATAGTTCTTTCCTTGAATGTATGTTTCTGTATCACATGCATGCCTGCCACCAGAGGAGGTCAGAAGAGGGCACTGTATCTTCTAGAACTGGAGTTACAGATGATTGTGAGCCTATCCTCATAGTCCTGGGAACAGAGTCCAGGTCCTCTGGAAGCACAGCCAGCTTTCTTACCTCCTGAGCCATTTCTCCAGCACTTTCGCTATTCTTATAGGTATACAACCACAGATAGTTGAGGTTTTAATTTGAAGTTCTTAAACTGCAAATAATCCTGTATTTATTTTCATGTTGTTATTTATCTGTACATTTTCTAAGAAAAAATAACTGGGGACATATGTTGAGAATTTTGTTTTTAATCTGAAGTATTTTTACATATTGAGAATAAAAACAGCCTGACATGAAATAAAATATTTTGTTTGTTTCTATTTCTGGGAAGAGGCACCATGAACACAGTAACTCTTATAAAGGAAAACATTTAATTAGGTGTCTTATAGTTTCGGAGGTGTAGTTTGTTACTATTGTATCAGGACATGGCCACAAACAGGCAGACATAGGGCTGGGAAAGGAGCTGAGAGTGGAGAAGGAGCTACATCTTGACTGGCAGGCAACAGGGAAAGGTTTGAGACACTGGGCATGGCTTGAGCACATATGAGACCTCAAACAAAGCCCGCCTCCACAGTGACACACTTCCTCACACAAGGCCAAACCTACCCCAACAAAGGTACACCTCCTAATAGTATTACTCACTATAAGGTTGTGGGGGCAAATATGTTCAACTACCACAGTTTGTTTATTTGTTGTTTTAGTTACAGCTTGTCTTTTATTGCTTTTTAAAATAGACATCGCAAAACAGACATTTTTAATTTTAATAAAATCTGTTTTGTAGTGATATTTTATTTGTAAATTAATAAGTAAAGCTTACCCAAAGATCAGAGAGTAAAACAGCCGCACTGATCTGCCATACCAATGAGGAAGTGGTGGCACACATCTTTAATCCCTGTAGCCACACTATTTGCCATAGAAATGGGGCAGTAGTGGTGCACCCCTTTAATCCTAGCACTGGAGAACAATTTAAAATGGGAGGAGACAGGTTTCACTCTCAGTCTCATTCTGAGGATTTCTATGGGCAGGATCGCCATTTTCAGACTGAGGTAGAGTTAAGAGTCAGTGGTTGGCTACTTTGCTTTTCTGGTCTTCAGGTTGAACCCCAATATCTGTCTCTAGGATTTTATTAATCATACATCATAGTTTTCATATTTCAGCCATTATTTCTACGTGCTCACTGCTTAATTCAACACTACAAAACTTTTTATTATGCATTTGGTCCAGAAAGTTTTTGGTTCCAGGTTTTACCTTGAGGTCTATGACTGTTTTGGATTCTTTGCAGGCCGTGCAGTAAAGTTCCTAGTTTGGAATGTGGACATCCAATTGTTTCAACAGCCTAGTGGGGTTGCTGTTGCTTTACTGTTTTCACATGCTCTGTCCCACTGGCTTCTCTGTGTGTTGTCCTACCATGACCTCTGCACTATTTTGAATACTATATTTTTATAATAAACTTTGAAATCGTGCAGTGATGATACTTGAACTATAGCCTTATCCAATGCAGTTTCAGCTGATTTGTGCTACTGTGTTTCCATGCTCAGTTTTGAACTGGCTCATCAACCACATAAAACCTTTTTTTTGAATCTATAAATTTTAAAAGAGCTAAAACCTTAAAATAACTAATTCATAGCCAGACATGGTGGTATACATCTTTTAATCCAGTACTTGTAGGTAGAAGCAAGTAACTTAATCACTATGAATCTAAGGCCAGCCACGACTGCAAAGTGAGATCCTATCTCAAAATAAAATAAACAAAATAAAAAAACCACTGATTTCCAAACAAAGCATGTTTACCCGCACATTCTACATATTCTTTGAGCTCTCTGGACAATGTTTTGTATTTTCTGTACAGGTTTCTTGCACATTACAGACTGCTATGTATTTCATACTTCTCAAACTACTGTAGGTAGAATTGCTACTTACAATTTTGATTTATAAGTATTTGTTGTTAGTGTTTGAGAACAATGGATTTTATATTAGTGTATTCTGAGGCCTTGGTAAACTCATTCCATTGTTCTCAAAGCTTTCGTCCATATGCTGCTGGAATTTCAGCACAGGTAATCTAAACATACTCAATACTTCATGCTTTCACAAACAGCTACATTTTGACCTTGACCTTAGGTCACTAAACCTTAAGCATGGTGCCAACTATATGTTTTTCCTAAATGGTCTTTGTCATTTTAAAAATTAAGTTACTTCTTAAACAGTTTTATTTTATAATAATGTATGTGTTTCTGTATGTGTACATGTGAGTACCTGTATACTTGTGTGTGTGTTATGTGTCTGTCTGTCTGTGTGCATTATGCATTTGTTTGTATGAGTAGACACATGTTATGTGGGTATGCTGGTACATTCAGATGCCAGCAGAGAGACTCTCTAGTTCATGTGACATAGTCTCTAACTGAACATAGAGTTCACAGATTACATTGGCAGGCCATCAAATCCTAAATATACTGTTATCTCTGCTCCCTACCCTGCCACAGCCAGTTACAGGCACATGCTAGCTCACCCAGTCTTTACACAGTGCTGGGGATCTCAACTCTGGCAGTTGTTTCTTGTGCTATGCATTTTTATCTCTAAAAGTTTTTCATCATGTGATATATTTTCTAAATTTTTTTCTATATTCATTATAAGTATGTTATGTGTGTGTGTGTGTCTGTGTGTGTGTGTGTCTGTGTGTGTCTGTGTATGTTTGGGGCAGGAGGTGCTCACCCATGCAGATGCACAGGGATGGAGACCTGATTTGATGGTGAGTATCTTCAGTTACTTCCCTTTCTTACTTTTGGAGAGGTTCTCCCATTGGACATGGACCTTTGCTTTTATCTAGACTGCTTGCCCAGAAGGCTTCAGGGATTCTCCTGCTTCTGCCCTCCTATAGTAAAGTTGTAGGCCAAAGCCATCTGCCGGGGATCCAAACTCAGTTCCCTAGGCTTTCATAGAAACACTTTACCCCCATAGCCACCTCCCAGCCTTCACTGATACAGTTTTATGACAAATAATTTACCATTGCTACCCCCTCATAGGATTACTTCTTTACTGGGGGATGAAAAGCCAAAACCAAAAGATCAAACATGTAAAAAACAAAAACAGAACAAAACAGCAGTAACAGGGTGCTAGAACTATACAACCCAGTTTGGATTCAAGCGCACCCAGACTATGGTCGCAATCCCTAGTGAGGTGCCTGAGAGCAGCAAATCTGGGAAGGGAATAGGAGTGAGGAAAGACAGGTAGAAAGGGATCCCCTAGGTTTCCGGATGATGTTACTTCCATTTCTACAGTGACTGTGAAGATTGACAGACCATTAGCTCCCTCTGTTTTCCCACTCCCTTCCTCACTCCTCTCCTTCTTCCCTTTACCTTCCTTTTTTCCCTTCCCTTCCTTCCCCTTCCTTGACCTTGGACTGTATTGCTGATGAACTATGGTGGTCCTGCACAGACCTCTCAGTCTTTGTGTTCTTCCTTCTCTTGTACTAGCCTGTGAACTTTTGGTGTCTTTGTGTCTCCAAAGCCCTCAGCTCAAGGAGTTTCCCAGAACACTCTTACAGTCCTGCCCTCTTGGTGACCTGGACACATTCTAAGCCTGCTAAGTTGTATAATCACAGAGCCTACTTTGTTTCCTTTTCATCTTTCTTACTGTCTATCCTAGCTTGCTGTTCACCGTTTTGAAAATGCCTAGTCTATGTACTGTGTCTGTTTTAGTTTTGAATGGAAGGCATACACAATACTCACCGATCCATCCTGACTTTTGACAAAAGTCCAAGGTAAAGATATATTTATGTTGGGGAGAGAGCACCGAACAAATTTATCCATCTGAAAACATAAATAAGCTGAAAAAAAAAATAAGCTAGAGTCTAAGACTGAAGGATGAATTTCTTAGCTGTCTGGTGCAGTTGCTATTCCAAAGCTAATGATGGAGCTATCTCCTGCAGCCCCGCTGCTGCCAAATAAATCCTCACTGCTGTTCCCACAATCTTCATAGACCCTTTCCCATCATTGCTTGAGCTTCTTTTCTGAAGCAGCTTCTCTGGTCTAGGATATCCTGGTTTTCTCCGTCAGTTCATACACTGAATACTGATCCCAATTCTTGGCTTTGCTCCTGTTCTTGATATTATTTAAATCAGGTTTCAGCTACAGTTCTTTCCCTGTGGCTCCTTTATGCCCTAGGGTTGAGACTCTTCTTTTACATTTTTAAAGTGGAAATAAAAATACATACTCAGTAGAGTGTAATCAGCTTGCAAATTTTTGAACATTTATCCTTTTTCAGAGAAAGTTTGCTGACTGCTGGTGCAAATTTGTTGTTTCCGCATTTATTTCTTTAATGAAAAAATAGAGTGAGCATGCTGGCTTTGCACTGGCTCTGATGTCAGCCTGAGTTCAGGTTCAGCTGCTGACTTCCTCAATTATAAAGGGAACCTACTGACTATCATGATGCTTTCCCTTCTTCAAGCGAAAAACAAGACTAACATCCCTTGCTACCTCATAGCTATCTGAGAATCTCTAAGGTTTATGGAGAGCTTTCAGTGCCTAGAATGTGATGAGTTCAAGAGATCTCAGCTCTCTCTGCTCTTTCTTTGTTGGTTTCATCTTTATAGCATCCTACAGATGTTCTTTCCTTTTTAGCAGATTCTGAAACTTTTATGCACGGTGAG